GCCTGTTCAGTTGCGTCAGTGCCGAGAGAGGCGCCATCCAATGGCAGCTGCTCCAGGGACTCCTAACATTTATCAGTTGATCGGGCTTTCGAGAGTCACGCTGTAGGAGATCCTTTCACCCCTGGCTCCAGTGCCAGCCAGTCATATGGGCGCTGAGGATGGTGGGGGTCGGATGGAGCCATAAGGGCAGGGTGGCAGATGATGGACTCATGATGAAGATTTCCCCGCTGAGGGGCAAGCTGCTACAGAACTCATCTCAGCAGAAAACACACACAGAGTATATCTGACTTGTCATACGTCACATTTTCCATCTACAAAGGAACTGTGGGAGGTCTGTAGACTGATTTGATTTGTAAAACGGAAAAAAGAAATTGTCTAAATGCTCTAAATCAGTGGTTCTCAAACCTGTCCTGGAGTTCCCCCAGCCCTGCACATTTTGTATGTCTCCCTCATCTATCACACCTACTGCAAGACCTGAAGTGGGTGTGTCAGATATACAGTATGGAGACATACAAAACGTGCAGTGCTGGGGATACTTCATGGAGAGGTTTGAGAACCCCTGCTCTAAATAGTCAATTTTTTTAAATGACGGTACATTTTTCTTTAGCTTTTTATTTAGAAAAGGGTAAAAAGAAACATTGCAACTTATCAAAGCTCTTCGTATGATTTATATATATATATATATATATATATATATATATAACTTATTTTATTTCAGTTACTTGCCAAGGCAACATTTCTCAAAAAATATTGTGTCTAAATTTTCTAAATAATCAACATTTCTTTTAATTTTCTTTAACTTTAATAGGGTCAAAAAAGGTCAAAAGAAAAGAAATTGCACTTGAACCAAGCTGTTTGTATAATTCAATAAAGAAATATAATTTAGAATAAGTGATGATAAATGACAGTTTATATTATTTATAATAAACATGTTTGTTGTCACAGTAATATTTTAGCAAAATAAAAGTAATATTAATAAAGATAATAAAATAAAAAAAAAAATATATATATTTAAAATTATAGAGATATTTATGGGTTGTATTCACTGGCTTATTTTATTTTTCTAAAATGTCACACCTGATTCAACTCATCAGCTCATTAGTGGAGACTGCAAGACCTGAAGTGGGTGTGTCAGATATACAGTATGGAGACATACAAAACGTGCAGTGCTGGGGATACTTCATGGAGAGGTTTGAGAACCCCTGCTCTAAATAGTCAATTTTTTTAAATGACGGTACATTTTTCTTTAGCTTTTTATTTAGAAAAGGGTAAAAAGAAACATTGCAACTTATCAAAGCTCTTCGTATGATTTATATATATATATATATATATATATATATATAATTTATGATAAATGGTAATTTACATAGTAAATTTTAGACAGTATTATTTTAGCATTTACTGAGAATGTAAAATGACAGTAATAATAATAAGATAGGGTCAAAAAAGGTCAAAAGAAAAGAAATTGCACTTGAACCAAGCTGTTTGTATAATTCAATAAAGAAATATAATTTAGAATAAGTGATGATAAATGACAGTTTATATTATTTATAATAAACATGTTTGTTGTCACAGTAATATTTTAGCAAAATAAAAGTAATATTAATAAAGATAATAAAATAAAAAAAAAAATATATATATTTAAAATTATAGAGATATTTATGGGTTGTATTCACTGGCTTATTTTATTTTTCTAAAATGTTTTTTCCTTTAGCTTTTCACAAAAAAACAAAAACAAACATTTCAATCGAAACAAGCTCTTTGTATGATTAGATAAAAAATGATTTAAATGAAACTGATGATGATCAATGTTATTTTATGAATTTCACAGATTTTTAGGGGTTATATTCACTGGTTTATAGAATATTTTCTACAGCTTTTTATTTATTTTTATTTTTTAATTTTAAATGTAGGCTTTAAAATATTTGTATGCTTGAAACAAACAACTTTAAATGGTTTGATTGAGTGTAAAACATTAAACAACATTAAACAAATTTAACTGCCTCTCTGTAATACAGTATTTCAATCAAATCCAGGACATGACAAAGGCTGTTAACTGAGAAACTAGGTTAATACTGGTTTATCCTGATGTAATAATGTTTGTTAGTGTTATGAATGAAAGTTATCATATTGTGTTAAGAAGACAGTCGTTTTAATAGGGATGCACAATATACTGGCATATTGTTCCATATATTCCATTACAAAATGGTGTGGAAACACCATGACAGTATTTTTATATATGGTACTGAGTGGTTCCAGGATCAAGGTAAATAAACTTAGAATTACTTGGGAAAACGGCAATTAAGCCCCTGAGAAAGATATGAGATTATGTTGAATCCACACATAAACACATTAGTCCTGATGCCCAAGAAGGCACTTTGAGGTCAGCGATGATTTAATCGTTTCTTAGTAATATGGTTGCACTTCTGTACACTGAAATACCCTCTCTGAACTGAACTGACTGTGAGCACAGCACCAAATCATCTTGTACTTGGCTCTCTCAGAGGCAGCACGTTCCTGTATGCAGTGTGAAATTGGGGCAGGGACCAGACTAGGCAGCTGTGTGCTAGAGGTTTGAAAGAAAAGTCTCTTGTGTATCCAAACAGATGTGGCTTGTTTGGCTGTGGTGGAACTGTTTCAGGCCAGTGTTGCAAATTAAAGCTACAGAGAACATTTAGAATAAGAGATGCTTTTGCCATTCTTTTATTTCGTTTTTGAGTTTTAGTTTAGTTTTAGTATTTCAACCTAAATGTATTTATTTTCATTAGTCATAAGTCAACATTTCTAGTTTTCTTTTCTTTCTTATGTCAGCTTTATTTCAATTGCCGAAAATTATTAAGGTTAGTTTTAGTAAAAATAACAACTCCGCTTCACTGATGGTAGGGATGTGCAAACCTAAATATTTTCCAAATGTTTTCCGACTAGTCAGTGGCACTGCTGCTAAAAAATATGAAAATCAAAAAAAGAATAAGAAAAAAAATTAAATCTAGTTGACTTCGCTAACTGACTAGCAGTGTTGGGAAGGTTACTTTGAAAATGTAATCAAAATCAGACTTACTTTAAGATCGTTCTGAGGTTAAACACAGATTTAAAATCATAACAAGAAATAGTTTTAATAGCTATGATACTGTTTTTGAAATCAAATATTTGCATAACTATGACAGGAAACACTGGAATCTAACAATGCGTTTGAAAAAAAAAGTTAATCTTAAAAAAGAAAGCATTTACATAACTCTTTTATTTCCTATATGGGTTTGTCAAATAAGCATGTTATAAACTCCTGAAACATTGGTGTTTCATATTTTAGAGCACTCTACAGTTACTTTTATTTTGTAATTAAATTACGTAATTCCATTACATGTAACTAGTTACTTCCCAACACTGCTGACTAGACAGTTGTTGACTAGTCAAGAATCGGGCCATTTGAAGAAGTCCAGTTGTAGGCTGTGGTCTTTTATACTGTAAAAGAATAAATCTTGTATCATTGTG